TCCAGCCCATCTTTTTCCATTTCTGCCCTTCACAGCACCTGTATCCTACTATTCCTATCTCTAGAGCTTGCCACCCCCACCTCATGGTCCCTTTTTACTTTCTTGGTATCTTCAGTTACTCCAAGTAATATATTAACCTCTAAAGATGCATAGATAGGATCCACCAATAGGAGAAACTGTGGTGTTTGGTTTTCTGTATCTGAGTTACGTCAGTATATTTTCTAGTTCTGTCCATTTCCCCACAAGTTTCATGTTTTTGTTATTCTTTGGATGGTATTCCACTGTGCATATATACCAAATGTTCATTGTCCATTCATCATTTGAGGGACATTTAGGTTGTTTCCATCACTAAATCTTCAAAATTTCAAATTCTAATCTCAACAAAGGTCAATCATCTCAATTCCAGGAAATCGGTCCATGCACCTTGTCGAGTCCTTGTTATTCTTCTTTCTGCTTTCCCAAAGTCTTTCTCCCAATAGCTTCCTCCATTCTTTCTCTCTCTGGCTGTTAGATCTGCTTGTGCCTTTGTTTTGATTTGTTCATTGTGGCATAGGTTCAACTGTGGGTGCTTGGAGTGAACTGTTCTCATGAACATGGAAAGTTAGAGACAACATCTCAGTCATCAGGGATGAGAAATAGTCCCGGAGTACCATTTATCTACAGAGACATAGGGTGGGAGACTTTCTTCTGCATTGGCGTAGAGAAATCTTGCTCCCCAAGCCTGGCTCCTTAGGAGCAGAAGATAAGGCACACTGTACAGTTCTGCCATCATTAAGGGACAGTATTCTGAATGGTCTGCTCCATGCTGCGTGTCCTGGAGCATTCCTGTGGGCACAAAGCTCTTGTCCAGCCCAGAGTAAGAAAACTATCTCACTCACATGCCATTCTACTGCCTATGCACCAATCCTAATATTGGTTTGACTTGAGAAAAGAGGATATATTTCACCTGAGTGGAGAGTGGAGAGGAAATGGGGTAAAATTAAGTCACTATCTTTTCAAAATGCTCTGGGGAATGTAATGATGAGCATAAACATGGTGCACTCACTCTCTTCATGATGTGTGCCAGCTGAATGGAAAAACAGATGTTCAGCATACTAAATAACAAAGACAGGGTGTGTATGAATGATTACAGAGAGGAGGGGAGCAGCGTGGAAGGAAAGAGTAGAGGACAAAGAAGAGAAAAAATATTTAATTCTGAAATCAGAACTTTGATAAGAGATGAGAAGGAAATAAAATTGAGGAAGAGTGTGAAAATGCATGAAAGAGGAGCTGACCTGGTAGGGATGTCCTGGAAGTGATGTCTGTGGACACAGTGGCTGAGCTGAGACACCGGGAAAGAGCAAGTGCTGTGCACAGAGAGCTGGGCAGAAAGCAGTGTGTGCAGGTGCATTTGTAGGTCCAGCACATCTGATACTTTCCAGAAACCTAAAGAGGCATGGTAGCTAGAGAAGGAAGAACAAAGTGTGAAAGACGAATGAAGGCAACTATCAGCTAGAAGTCAGGCTTTGTGAGCCAGCCTATCACCTGTGATGGTGTGAATGAAAATGGCCACCATGGGCTCAGGAGCTGGCACTATTAGGAGGTGTGGCCTTGTTGAAGGAGGTGTGGCCTTGCTGGAGGAAGTGTGTCACTGGGGCAGGCTTTGAAGTTTCAGAAGCTGAAGCTAGCTCACTAGCTCTTCCTGCTGATCCAGGATCCAAATGTAGAACTCTCAGCTCCTATTCTAGTACCATGTCTTCCTGTGTGCTGCCATACTTCCCACCATGATGACGATGGACTAACCCTCGTAACTGTAAGCCAGTCCCAATTAAATGCTTTCCTCTAGAAGAGTTGCTGTGGTTGTGGTGTCTCTTCACAGGAATACAACCGTAAGACACTACCTGTAGTCTTTATTCCTAAATGTATATGATCATTACAGTAAAATAGCTGAGCCACATTTTCAGAAGCCCGTAAGGATTGAGTGCATAGAATAAATGAATGGGGCAGAGCGATGCTGGGAGACCAATGAGGAGGCTGATGTAACAGTTCCAAGGACAGCTGATGACAGGTGGTGGCGACTCTCAAAGGAAAGTACTCCTTGGTGCTAAAAATGGAAGTGTGATGTAGAAGATATCAAAAGTGTGTGGAGATATCAAAAATTTCTGCCTCAGATCTGGGTTACTCCACAGCTGCCCGGAATAGGAAGAGTGGAAGAAAGCTGAGCTGGAAGTCACCAGTTCATTGGTTCACATGGCTCTTTGTTTCATTGAGATACTCACGTGGAGAAGCCAATAGGGAATATGACTCTAGGGAAGGTCTGGACAGAAGATGCAAACATGGGTGCTTCTGGGATTAGTGGAAGTGGGGTCTGTTAGGCCCAAATGAAAATGTATCAAACAAGAGGAAGCAGGAAAGAAAAGCACTGCTATTATCCATTGAAATTGAACTGTTTTTTTTTTTTATTCTGAAAACATGACAGTAGTGTCCCTAAGTGTCCATCAAATGATCATAAATTTTCATCCTGTAACTAGAGAAGTCTTCTTCAAAAAGGCAATAGCGGTAAATGCGACAGTCATAGGCAATATGCCATTTATGATGGCAAAGCAAAAATGAAAGTATTTCATTACACTAGTAGGTTAAGTAAATCATTGTACATTTGTACTGATGAATGCTATACCATCATACTTTTCTGTTTATAAAGACTTTAATGCATGTAAATGACCTTGATGTAACAGTTAGTGAAAAAGAGGGACATAAAATTAATAGAGCATGTGCCGGATAGTTTTATGTCAACTTGATACAAGCTAGAGTCATCTGAGAGGAGGGCACCTCAGCTGAGAAATTGCCTCCATGAGATCAAACTGTGGGCAAGTCTGTAGTGCATTTTCTTAATTAGTGATTGATAGGGAAGGGCCCAGACCATTGTGGGTGGGGCTATCTCTGGACTGTTAGTCCTGGGTTCTATAAGAGAGCAGGCTGAGCAAGCCATAGGGAATATGTGTTCTTCTGTGGCTTCTGGATCAGCTCTGTCTCCAGGTTCCTGACCTAAGTACTTCCGATGATGAACTGTTGCCTGGAGTGTAAGTGAAATAAACCCCTTCCTCCCCAAGTTGATTTTGGTCATGGTAATTCATCACAGTTGTAGAAATCCTACGACAGAAATTGGTAGCAGGATTGTGGGGTATTGCTGTGATACCTGACCAGGTTGTTTGGGGGAGGGTTGTAGAAGGACTCTGGAACTTTGGGCTAGAAAAGCCATTGAGTTTTCAAACCCTGGTGAGCTGTTGTTCAAACCTGGCCTGGAAGATTAGGGGATGGTGCTGAAAGCAATACAGATGTTGGAGGTCTGACTTGTGAAGTTTTAGAGCAGTGGTTCTCAACCCTCCTAATGCTGTGATGCTTTAATACAGTTCCTCATGATGTGGTAACCCCCAGCCATAAAATTATTTCCTTGCTACTTCATAGCTGTAACTGTGCTACTGTATGAATCATAAATATCTGATATGCAGGATATCTGATATGTAATCACTGGTTGAGAACTGCTGTTTTAGAGGGAGTCAAAGTCTTCATTGGGACCTTTTGATATTTAAATTAAGAACCTATGGTTCTTGTCATCGGCTGGGGCTGAAGAATTAGCTGTGGTTAAAAGGAAACCAGTGAAACCTTTGCTTCACTGGGATAATTGATGCTGATCCGCTGGAGCTGAACAAAGGTGGTGATTAAGAAGAATCCAGCATCACTGAAGTGTTTCCTCAGGGTCAGCACATAGAAGCTGTCTGTGTTCAAGAGGTGGCCAAGGTTGGACCCTGTGCTGACAGCTGAACTTGGTAGTGTAAGGGTCTCCCAGGTGGTACTGGTTCTGAAGGCATGAAGGTGACATGGAGAGCAGCTTGGCACTGTGAGAAGCCAAGGCAAGCCATGGGTGAAGGTCTAGCTTCCGTAGCAGTTGAAGGCCTGGGTTGAAGGGGTCATGCAGAGAGTTGAGACTTGGCACTGTGAAGAGAGTCCAGGAGAGACTATTGGTGAAGGTGTAGCCCAATTGCAGCAGGAGCCCCCAGTGTTTGGGAGCCCCCAGTGTTTGGAAGTCCCCACTGTTTGGGAGACCCCAGCATTCAGGAGACCCCAGCACCATGGGACTGAAATAGTGCTAGAGAAGAAAGGAGAGAGAAGGAACCTCAGTTGCACCAAAAATGTTCAGAATGGAAAATTATGAGAAAACAAGATTATCTATAAGTAGTGGAACCTGAATGCTTATCCTTATTCTTGTTCTTTTGTCTGGTTTCCAAATTTAAAATGTTGGTATTTATTACATACTATGCGTTGTTTTATTATCTGGAAGAAAATATGAAACTCCAGCATCGTCCTAGTTATGATGACACCAAAAGGCACCTCACCTGTCAGTACTGGCGACCAGGCTGTTCACACCTAGAGGAGCATCTGTTCTCTGACTACAGCCAAGTCATAGACTTTTCGTTTCGTTTTGTTTTGTTTTTTAGATTTATAGGATTATTACTGTACTTTCCCAAGTTTTATAAGCTATTTAGTAAGAAAACTGACCTAATTATTGGACAGTGGCAAGTGCTTTCTCCAGAGCACAGCTGCCCATCAGCACATATCCCCAGTGTTTCCTTTGCCTGTGTTTTCGTGGAGCCAGGAATTGAGCACAGGGTCTCACTCGTGCTAGGTAATGTCCTGCCACGGAGCTCCTTCCTCTGCACTCTTGGACCAAGAGGAAGATTGTAATTTTATTTACAAATTGATGTCCTCTTTCTACAGGCTCTTTAGTTTAAATCTTAGCACTGTAAATAACTGAGATCTTCACTGTATGATTTATAAAAAGAATCCTGTGAGAAGTACACATCGGAGCTGGCTTGTTATTTTAAAATACAGTGAGAGGTTTGTGCTCACATCTAGCAGTTTTCAGGGAACTAACCTTTGGAATGGTCATCGGTGTCTGCAGAGATCTGAGATCATTTTGAATTTGGTTCTTAGCTAAATGCATGTATTTTTTTTAACTCCAGGAATGTATACAAAGACTATCGTTTCCTGGAGTTGGCCTGTGATTCCCAGGAGGATGTGGACAGCTGGAAAGCATCTCTGCTAAGAGCTGGGGTCTATCCAGATAAATCTTTAGTAAGTTGAATATATTTCTTATCTTAAAAAACATCATTGCACACCACATTGAAGAAAATGCATTCATTTCTGTAAGTTAGCAAAACAACTACCTCTTTTTTTTTTTAAACTTAATTTGGCCTCTTTACAGATTCTGCCTTATTCTTTTTACGTTGATATTTTTGATGCTTTTTTTTTTTTCTCCATCAGATTTCTCCAAAAGCTACTCGGTACATTTGCTAAAGAAAATATCCCATTCTGCTTCAACATAATGTGCTTTTGGGAAGATTTTAATTCTATTTAAAAATCTGATGTCTTCTATACATTATCCCACAGCTGATATAAACTAGTGTACTCTCATTCATCATAATAATATTTTATATTTATATTTTAAAGCATACTTATTTTTATAAAGGCTTCTTCTACTGTGTCAGTATTACTTGTATCCCTAGTTATGTCTGATTCAAGCTCTGGGTAATGTCACAATGAGTGTGAAGAACAGAAAAAAAAATACCTAGCTCTTCCCACTTATCTTTATTAATGTACTTCAAGTGTCTAGGAGACACTTCTCTCCTTCAAGTTAATAAACAGGCCTTGTCTTTGTGCTCTTTACAAAGTGTAATGTTACACAGACATCTCTAAAATTAGACTTCAGAAGTCCCTCCATTGTCTGCTCACACCAACTAACATAGTGTGCCAGCCTTTCACATTTCCCTCTCTCTCCCTCCTTTTCCTCCCCCTCCTCCTCTCCTTCCCTCTCTTTGTCTCCCTCCCTTTCTTTTCCATCCCTCTCCACCCACATGCTGCTCCCTAAATCTTGCCATGAATCCATGTCTCTTCTCAGAACTAACCGGCTAAGATTCATCCCTGAGGAGTTAAATACAGCATGCCCTCACAGTGCCTACCTGGCTCTCTGTCTGTGTCTAGGACTGATCATGCACAGTGGGATCCCTTCTAGGCTCAGGGTAGGATACAAGTCTTTTCAAGACAAAATCTGACATATGGCTGAAATGAAGGATAATTGGAACTCTTAGGGTGTGGGGAGCTTCATGTCCATGGCGTCACACTGGAACTCAATGAAGTTTCAGGCACAGCATCAAGATTTGTACAAAAATGTGTCCCCCTCATATTTTGGCTCAAGCATAGACCCCTCTCCATTCTACACCTCTCTAATTAATACCTAAAGCAATGAATCTTCCAAACATGCTCTATGCCCTCTAAAGAAAAGATAAATATGCGTTCTCAACGGTAAGGTATCCAGGTATATGTCTGTCTCATTTTCTATATTATTGACCAACTTCTTTCATGTGTGTGCATACAGATTCCCACAGGCATATCCTCCCCTCAAGACTTTCATATCAGTACTCTTTTCAAAATTCCAGGTGACACTTACTAGATTGCAAATCATTATATTTCCAATATTGCACATTAATTGTAGTATGTTTACATACACAGAGATTTTTTATTAAAATGCATGGTGGTAAGTCCTCTGCAAAGTGGTCAGTAATGCAGTAAGATAATGCACAGAAAACACAAAATGACACGTGCATAAGGGAGCACTCTTATTTTCATGTATAAAATAATTATGATGATCATTATCATTTTCATTATTAACTACTACTTTTGGCAACCAGTGAAGGTTATTATACAAGGTCCTGGGAAGATTGTCCAGTTAGTAAAACTCCCATTGTATAAGCACATGGACCCAAATTTGAATCCCCAGAATCCACATACAAGGCCTTAGTGTTTTACACCTGGAATTCCAGTGTTAGGAGTTAGAGAAGGGAGGATCCCAGGGGCTCTCTCGCTAGCCAGTCTAGCCAAGTTCACAAGGGTCAGGGTCAGTGAGAGACCCTGTCTCAAAAATAAGGTTGAAAGCCATCATTGAAGACACTCGACACCAACCTCTGACCTATACAAACATACAGGAACACACACATGAACGTATACAGATACACACATGCACACACACACACACACACACACACACACACACACACAAAAACACTGTATATATTATAGCCTAGTGAGATTGTGGGTTTTTTTTTCTGTTTTCTAATTTCCAGGTATACTTAGTGGTATATCAATGTATATGTGTTTGTATGTCTATGTGTATATTTTTCTTACATCTAAGTATGTTTTAGATCATGACTTTGTAAATTATACTTTTTTTGGAGGTTGTTTCTGTGGGTTGTGTGTGTGTGTGTGTGTGTGTGTGTGTGTGTGTGTGTGTGTGTGTGTGTCTTTTCCTGTTTTTGAGATGAGGTCTCACTCTGTAGCACAGGTTACCCTGACACTTACCATGTAGCCCAGGCTGGCTTCAAACTTGCAGTAATCTTTCTTTTTTTTTTTTCTTTCCTTTTGTTTGTTTGTTTGTTTTGTTGTTGTTGTGTTTTGTTTTGTTTTGTTTTGTTTTGAGACAGGGTTTCTCTGTGTAGCTTAGTGCCTTCCCTGGAACTCACGCTGTAGCCCAGGCTGGCCTCAAACTCACAAAGATCTGCCTGCCTCTGCCTCCCAAGTGCTGGGATTAAAGGCGTGTGCTACCACCGTCCGGCCAAATTATCCTTTTTTAAGTGAAATAATTAGAGAAATTATGTGACATATGTTTGTTAGGGGAAAACTGTCATAGAAAAGAAAAAGTATTTATCTGCCCATGAGCTTTTATAAAACTTTTAAAAATTACTTTTATAAATCTATATATTCATGGGCTCATCCTTAGCTATACAACAAGAAGGCAATCTAAAAAATATCTTCTATGTTTTATTCTAATACTCCACTTTAAGCAAATTTAGAGTTGTGCTACACAGTTTGTTTCGACTCTTTGGGTGGAATCTTCATGTGCTTACCAGCGCATACTTGGGCCAATCACTTAGGAGATGGAGACGAGTAGATATGGACTGCACATCAAAAAAACAAAACAGGAAGTTAGAGTTGGCAGTGTGTACCAACTGTTGCTTTTCTCGGTTTTCTTCAAGAGTAGTGTTGATGTTTCGTATGTGCCGTGCAGTCCCTCAGGTCCCGTTCAAAGAGTTGCCTGACCCTTGATGTCTGATGGCAGCCAACTGTTGAGATCCATCACGTCGGGTGTTCAGCTGCAGATTCCGTATGTGAACATACTCGATTACATCTAGAAGTGATAGCTTTCGGTAGTTCTTCCTAATGTAGAAATTATGAAATCAGATTCACCTAAAGACTGATATCATTAAGCAAAATTTTAGAACTTTAGAATAGTGTTTTGTTTTCATGGCAACAAACCACTGAGTCACTAACAAACCAGTCAGTTACTTTCCTGGTAGAGAAACAGCTCTGCTTTCTATACAGATGCCTCTATTTGACTGGGGAGAAAATCCTTATTTATAAGCTGTGTGTGTTTCGAGGAGGGGAGGAGTGATATGTGGGTGGCTGGATATGTACATTTGTGAGCATGTATCTGTAGACGGTGTGCATGTATGTATGCACATGGTGTGTGTATGTGTGTGGAGGTCAGAGGACAACATGGGGTAGCTGGACCTCAGATGCCTCCCTCCTTTTGCTTAAGACAGGGTTGCTCATTGGCCTGGAAATTCACCGATTGGACCAGGCTAGCTGGCTGTGAGCCTCCACGGGTCTGTCTGTCTGTCTGTATCTGCCCTCTGTCTTGTCTTGCTAGGTAACAGACATGTGTACCACCATGCCTGGTTGTTTATTTGAATTCTGAGGGATCTGAACTCAGGTCCTCATGGTTGCGAGGCAAGTGTGTATGCCTGAGTCATCTGTCTCTCCATCCTGGAAAAAAGTTTCTATTTCCATCATTTTTCAAACATGTGTATAATTTCAATATCATTTAGATAATGCCCTATCACTCAGTTTGAATAAAATGATGTTTGAGGCCAATTAGTTTGTTACGATTTTATATGTCCATTTTAAATAGTATCACCACTCTAGTTTCTGCTGTCTCCATGTAACAGTTGATTCTCTGTCACTCATATCAAAATGTTTTGTGACCTTGTTTCTTGTCTCCTAAATCATGTCTCTGGGGATTTTCTTTTTGAAAATGTATCCTCCTTTTTGCATTCCTTTCCTTTTCTAACCATTTTTTTTTCTTCTTTGGAGCTTACCTCACCTAGACTAGCTGGCTCGGCCAGACCTAGAAATCCTCCTGTCTCCACATCTCCATCACTGTAATCACAGGCCTGCACCATCACACCAAGGCTTTACACGAATTCCAGGCATCTGAACTTAGGTCTTCATGAGAATGTGGCAGGTACTTTGCCAACAAGGCCTTCTCCTCTGCCCTTATTTCTTGTAATTTTGCTTCCTTTGGCCATTAAATTGAAGTTATAACCACTATAAAACTGTATGATGCTAGGAATACAGGACTTTATACAGTTTCAAAATAAAGATGTTTTTAATGGAATGTCTAGTTAACTGTTCAGAATAAGATACAAATTGTGTGTATGTACTAGTGGTTAAGAATTCATTAAAACTCTCAAAAGACTATTTTACCAACATGTGTGCATAACCCTTTTCTCATAAATTTGATTATAAATACATGTGAATTGATCTGAGTAGCATGATCTGATAAACACGACTTTGGGGCACAATATTGTTGGCTTTCAATATGGCATTAAGGAATTCCAAATTCAAATTATTTGAAACATGAACTGTGCCGTGAAGTGGGGTAGACATGGAAGCGAATCCATTCTTTGTTTAAATCCTGACACTGCCCTGTGACTTAGCACCTCGACTAACTCTCCAGTCATTTATACTTTTCTAAGCTCCGAACAGCACCTTCCTCAGAGAGAGGGTTCTGGTGCATTACAACAAGCTGCATGCCTTCAGCTGGTCACTGTGCTCACAGCAGCATAGCTTTTTTTATTCTTTGGCATCCTGGATGTGCGTACAAAACTGCAGTTCTCAAATTTTATGATTCAGTTGTCTTTGGAAATTGTTAATGGATTTGACTGTGTTAGAGAGAAATTTCTCACCATTGTCTAGGAAGTCTAGTTGTTTAGAGGGAATCCTGGGAATACCTGGGGGGAAGGCCAACCTTCAAGGTTGAGTCAGGAGGGCAGAGCTTACCCTAGGGCTGTCGGGCAACCCAGTAGCCTCATGCCTGCTCTTAGAAGCTGGCCCTCCAGCCATGGGAAAAAGGCAATGTGAGATCCAGGCTTGCCCTGGAAATAATTTGGTGCAAAGTCAGTTAAGAAACCTCCAAGCATTTTAAGAGGTTCCTATTCCCTGCAAAACATACATGTGCACACACACACACAGTTTCTATACAGAGGTTTCTGTTATATATCCTCCAGTGTGAACCAGCGTGAACAGCTTCTTCAAAAGCTTAACATAAAATGGTAGAAGGTGAAAGACCTCTGACTGCTAGCTTTCCCCGTGAACTGGGGGCTCTGCAGCTATAACCAATGTTTTTCGAACCCCTTGTAGAATGAAACCATCTTCCACTAAGGTCCTTTTGACACCTCAGAAATAAGTTATTTTTAGAAGATGCTACAGTGACTTTCCTCTATGTCAAAAAATAGTTAAAAGAAAGGGTCCCTGTGTCTTCCCAAGTAGGAAGAAGAGGAATGGCCATGGACTTCCACAAACATTTACAAATGTGATGGCCACTCATACATTGTCATTCAACAGTCTGTGGAGGAGTGGGAAGATCTAACACCCCACTCCACATGGTTTTTTCCCCCAGCAGTGCTTCGCCCAGAACTTGTACAGCTGTGTGTCCAATTCCAAAGGTCCTATTCACTGTTTGGTGGAAAAATACTTTCAATGGTTTAAACAAAAGGTATTGTCAACTAGAGTAGTGGAGAGCATTCTAAAACCTCATCCACCATCCAGGACTGCCATGCCCCTCACCAAATAGATGATTGGGAGCTAACTGAATGAAATAGTAACGGGCCACGCACACCACATCCTCCACGTCTCTGTTTCTTTTATTTAGGACCAGGGAGCCTACACAGTTACATCATTGTTGCTGCTACACGTTGAGCCATCTGCCACTGAGTGGGGAAGCTAGTCATTCCCTAGTGTGTAGGAATACTTGGTTGAATTCCTGAGACCAGTTTGCTAGATCAAAAACTGCTCTGCTGTGGAATGCAATAAACTCCATCTGTCTGAGGTATTTTCAGCAATAGTGCTCTTCTTAGGGGAGCCAGGGTCCTATTATTCTCTAAAACAGTCTTCTACTCATAGTAAAATTCCCAGTGGGGCCTTACTGCCTTTTTGAAAAGTTGGCATCATCTTCAGGAAGGATTCCTTCGGGCTTTGTTGTGTTTCCTTTTTTCCTTCATTCATTCTTGTCATTATTTATGTGTCTGATAAGTTGGTGTGTTAATAACAGTACTGTGGCAACCCACAATGCTTAAGAAACTTCTCTACATGATTTTATCAGTGCCTTTATATTTTCCTTGTTAAATATGACGGCTGCAGTGATCCCTGGAAGAGATGGTTTCCTTAAGGTCACCACCTGGCACCGAGCTCAAGGAAAGCCTCTCCCGGATCATTGCCTTCCCACTCTCCCAGAATATTTCTTTGTGTATTTTTCCCCCTTCACATCCTCAACCTAAATGGAAATGCCAGGTCTCTAAGCTGGTCCATTCCTGTTCCCAGTCTTCCCCTCTGATCCACACACTTCTCTCATAGCTCTCTGCAACCTCACATCTCAGTGAGACATTTTTTTCTCGACCCCTGAGAGGAGAGCTCAGATCTGTTCCAGGCTCACATCCCATCACGTCTCCCCCACAGGATCTGACCTTGCGAGGACTCGGGCTGCTCTGGGAGTCATGAATCACCGTTTTATTTTTTTAGGCCATATGTGAGTTAAATTGTTTGATGTAAATCATACGCTCACAGCTTCAGTTTGCAACAGGAGAGTCATTGGCTGCCACTCGCCACTGGCTGCTCTGTCTCCACACACAGTTGTTGCTTTTAGAAATGTCTACATTTTTGTGACTAACCTTTCCAGATCCTTTTTATTGAATGAGGACTCGTGTTTATGTTGGCTGGGGCCCTGCTATACAGTCTTGACTTCCCATGCCAACCCAAGACACAAACTCGTAACTTACCAAAGAATGGAATGGCCCAGACGGAGGCTGTAACTTGCTCTGCTTCCTCCGTTACCCCAAACCACCCACTCCTTTCCTCAACACTTGCTTCCCTTTTTTTTTCTTTTTTTTTTTTAATTTTAATTCCACCTTTTTTGAAACCAAGGATGCAGTGCTTGTTCAAAAACCGTACTGGCTGATGAAATTTTCCACTGCTCGGCCTGTTGGAGGAGGGGCTGTCAGGAAAGGCAGGCCAGCTAGCACACTAACTTCTCTGCCTTTTATGCTAGCGGTTCACTTATTACCGATTCAAACCAATTCTTTCTGGCTTGGTTCCCATACCCCAAGTATTCTGAGTAAAGGGCGGGGGAGGCTCTGCTCTTGTTAACTCATGATTTCACTTACCCTTCGTGGGTTCTTTGACTTGTGCGTGAGCTCTGGATATACAACAATGGCATGTCAGCGAGGAGGTCACTTATTCATTTGAATTCTGATCTAGCAAGAAAAACTTCGTAATTTTAAACTAAACCTGTGTTTAACATATTTCTCTCTCTCTCTCTCTTTTTCCTTCCTTGTGGCTGCATGCACAGGGAAGCAACAAAGTAAGTTTTCTGCCTTCTTGGAGCTCTGCTGTCTCCCCAGCCCCCACTACTGCATGTGTCTTGACAAGAGTGGTTCTGTGCACGTTGGAATGGCCACCTTCTGTTGTCGTACAGGGATTATATGGGGCATGCAAATGTTTGGGGGCAATGTGTGTGGATGGTTACAGCGGCTGCTCTGTTTGACCTCTTGGAAAGGAAATAACAATGTGTTTTCAGAGCTGGTTATGGGGCATGTCAGAGAGCTTGCTCAAAAGACAGAGGCCAACTCCGAGAGCAAAGGCAAAAAGGTTGAATGAGGAGGATTTGTCACAAAAGGGTATGGCTCGCCTGATAAAACTCAGGACAACTGAAGTTTTTGACCCCAAATCAAAGTGTGCATGTTAATATGCAGTTATAAAACCCCCAAACTGAAGTCTTAAATAGCAGTATAGCAGGCTTTGTTGGCAAAACTGAACTAGATCCATGCACTGGCTTTGAAGGTGCCTTGAAATGGATGGAGGAGGGTGGGGTCAACATTTGACTTGGCTCCTACATCCTTGATGAATTCCAGCTGCATGGAAGTGGGAAGAATGTGCCGATCGGGCAAGGAGGCCAAACTGTGCGTTATATGTTGATGAAAATGGGCAGCACACGAGAATGGTGCAAGTTATTTTAATGATCTTATTACAATAGATAAATGAGCAACTGGTGCTTTGTAGAGTTGCTAACTTGGTTAAATTTTAATGTACCTTTTCCAAAAGATTAGGGTTATTTCCCTCTTATTTAGAAACATAAGAGCAATATAGATGGAGAAAGTGGCCTTAAGTTAGGCAGAGTGGTTTTTGTTTTATTTTGCTGGGTTTTCCTTCATACATTGGTTCTTTATTCTACCAGGTGGCCCACTTAAAATGGGCCTCAGTGAATACAATAAGAATTGAAAAGAATCTGTTATATAAGAGTTGGCCTGCATATTTAAAGCAGCTGGAATTCATCAAAATTTTGCTATTCATAAGCCATATGTATAGAATGTAAAACAAATGTGGGAGATATTTTGCAGTTTAATTTGATGGAATGTGTTATTATGGAGTAAATTGACATAGATGGGTGGCACTAAAAAATGTGTCACTTCATAAATTTATACACTGATATAACTGCTCATGACCCAGGCAATAATATTTAATAAAGTTAAAATATTGCCAGAAATGTAGGAGATCAGCATTTGTGAAGAAGGAAAGAAGTGCACTGCATTATTTATAGAACACTTTTGGGGGGAAAAGCAGGTAACTTTAAAAAAAATATATTAAAGGCTTTTCCCACAAAAATGAAAGATAGTATTTCTAGCTAATACTGCAGTGCTTAGTGACAAATATTTGGACAAGATGTGAAACCCATGTTTTAATTCTTATGGGTTCCTGAACTGCTAAGTATTCTATCTTGATTATTTGCATCACATCGAATCTCTATCTAGAACGTCGAGTGTTGTTATCTGAAAACAAAACAACCAGCAAACAACCTGAGCACTTTGAAAGTCACCCACACCCCGGATTAATTGTGGGTACACTAATAGGGAGCCAGGTGCAGACGCTGGGGGTGCCACTAGCTCTGCCCACAGGAGAAGCATTCGTGATTTGTCTCTTTCTCTGGGAGCTCATGGATGGCTTACGTGTTGATAAAATTATACACACACATACTCCAGGAAAAAAAAAATCCTATGGCAAGAGACACTCATTTGTCGTGTCTAGCTTCAGCAAGCTCTTCTGGATCATAAAAGCTACAGTGGATACAGTTTACTGATTTTCAACTCATTAAATGCAAGTAGTGATTAAAATTTAAAAATTGGGGCTGGAGGAGAACAGCTCGGCCAGTAAAGCGTCTGCCACGCAAGCACAAAGACCTGAATTCAATCCCCAGCACCCATGTAAAAAGTTGGACATGGTGGAGCATACTTGTAATTCCACACTAGGGACATGGAGACGGGCAGCTCCCTGGGACTTTCTGGCAAGGAAGGGGCCTAGCTTACTTGTTGAGAATAGGCCAATGGGAGGCTCTGTCTCAAAAACTAAAAAGGATGGCACCTGAGGAATTCTATCCAAAGTTGTCATTGGACTTTCACACACACATATACCTAGTCCTACACACACACACACACACACACACACACACACACACACACACACACACCTCAAAAATTGTAAACTATTGCTCATTAAACCTTCTAGAATAGGCCTGACGGCCCTATGGGGTCTCAGGGCCTCCAGAGTCACCATCTATCTACACCATGAACATCTGGTATGGTAGTGTGGAGGATTTTCATTTGCTGGTTGAAGGTGACATTGGTTGGAGGCTCTCAGAAATACAAGTGCTCATTGTTTTGATTTGTAACTGAAGAATGGATACTTTGGAGATAATATTTATTACCCCATGCCTTATTTTTAATTGTTTGCATTTATGCATAAGTGATAGTTTGTGAAAAATACAATGCTAGTACTTCTAAAATGGGATCGTATTCCTGACTGTAGACTCTGGCATGAAAGCATCTCCTCCAATCCCAAACAGCACATCTGTATGCTATTTCCCTGTAGCTTAGGATTTCAGTGTAAATGGAAAACACTGCATGCAAGCTCTGCTGTCTCCAGAGTATAGATCTGGAGTCTTCAAAAGGACAACATGAGATTCTTTTTTCCCCTCTCATGCTGGAATGATTGTTCAGAGTCGTCCCTACGGCTACATACCTGCCCTATACAAGAGCCAGCTGTAAAGTATAGCTCATTTCAGATTGGAGAAGGCTAATTGTTTACCAAGCACATGACATTTTATTATTCAGGATGTTAACCAGATCTCAAGGGAAGCAAACTCTGTTGAATAAACATGTCTTTAGATGAGCACAGTGGACTCGTCTCCCTGTATGCAGTAAGTGTAGCACATACCCATGCCCACACCCACATATAATCCAGAGCAACCCTGATGCTCATTTTCTCAGTGACAGGCTTGCTCTGTCCATCTTTAGATCATGCTGAGAGTTTGGGAGCTCATTCTCCATGCTTCATATGTAGAGCAGCAGTTCCTACGAGAGAAACACGTATAGACTTACATTATGGACACACGATAGGACAAAACACTGACACGTACATTCCTCTTTGAACAGCAATTGCTATTGCTCCTAAAAAAAATGGTAATTTTCCTTTTGTAAGAAAATCACTGTTATTCTGGGGAAATTTTCTTTTGTAAGTATTACTTATTTTTCCTTTGGAAAATGTTTATCTGTTGGCATAGCGATATTCTAAATTGCTCATGGTAGAGTCTCTCTTTCCCTTAGACAAGCTGCCCGTGACCACAGAAGTCCATGTCTTCATTAGGAAGGCCAGAATCCAGGACATGAGTCAGTTTTGAGAATGTGAATAAACAGCACATAGAATGTGCAACAGTTTCAGAGAACTTATTTTGTTTCTGTGCAATTTGTTTGTTAATACAAATACCATATGCAAACCTGAGGTCTTCAGGGGAAAATTCATCTCATGCTTGGTCCAAGAGAGAAGCCATTTAATACGACATAATTTAATGTCTTCTCTAAAGGGACATTTCCAGAGATTTAGTAAACTTTAAGTTTTATTTCTTTATCAAAGAGTTTAATTAAATGTTCTTGTTAAATTTGGCAAATTCAAAGTAGGAAAAAAACCCTAAAATGCATGAAATAAAATATAACAAAGAGTGTCTGATTTCTTAATGATGTTGGTACAGAAACACAAATGAAAACATAGAGAATCCTGGATCCCAATATTAATGCTTCTAAAAGTTTTACATTATAGAAAAAAAGTTTCTTTTATTACCCTTTAAATGAAAAATGTATTAACTTTATCTAACTTCAGTCTTTTTAAACTAAAGAAGTCTCATACTTCCCCAGGAGAAGTGTAAGATTGACTATATTTCATTTGAAAAGGAGCAATTGAATAGTATATTCAAAATCAGTATTATAACTTTGCAATATCTGTATTGTGCTCTAGTACTGTGAAATACAGTAACTTCATACATGACAAAGGGCCTTGGTGTACAAGAAAAGAAAGTCCTATCCAAGCACCTGCTTTCCACCATTTAAGAATACTTTGGTGATTCCTGAATGCTCTCAGCAAGACTAGTGGACTTGGCCAGCTCCTGTCTGTGGGAAACGTGGTTACTTATTATCACCAAATGGTAATTTAATTATTATTACCAAATGGTGATCCTCTGATGTCTACCAGTCACTCTCCATGATAGACTTTGCCAAACAAATGGCACCAAGATGGATATTGAAGAGCACAGATGTTGAATCTGTACTGGTTCGTTTTACCATCTTATGATAGAACTTTACTCCCTGTTGTTGTTGTTTCTACCATGTGTGAGAGACCATTGTAGCCATTGAATACTCCATCCACCTGGCCGGGCAGGGCCTTATTGATAACTTGTGTCATGACATTGGTTGATTGAAGGAACCAAAAGGATGGTGTTGTGCAATACATCCCTCTTGAATATTTGAAATTCATGACAAAAGAAAACTCTAAGCAGTTATGGGAATGGCTGACTCCATTAGGATTATTTTTTTAAGTAATGTATATGATTTTCCACACTTTTCTTGGAGGAGCATGATAATATATTTTCTTTGGATTTCCAGAGAGTCCCTGTCTGGTTGACTAACTTTATGCATAAATTAATAGGAATAGCATGAAAGTTAAAAGGAAGGGTTGAAAACACACTGGCCTCTAAGGGTTACTCCAATTCCATGTGACTATGAAAACACCCCATTTCTCAAATCACTGCAACACCATAAAACCTTTGGTTTTCCTTTGCCAAAATGACATTAAAAGAAAATTATTGATGCCTAGATTTTGAGCCCACTGACTTTAATCATAACCAGTTGGAGAAGACAGTCAGTTGGGAGTAGAACATTTTGAGAAGTGATTTAGATTTTCTATTTTTCTGAATGTATTGATCTTGCCAACTAGACTCTAGAGTTATGTGAGACTGGATATGTGGCTCAGAAACAAGGTCATAGGTGATGGAATGGGGCTTCTGAAGGGTCAGTAGTGTTTATTAATATATTTTCATTTTCTCTGATCAAGATGAAATGACTTCTCTCTAGTGAATGAGAACTCATGTTTCAGATATCAGAGCTCTTTTGACATATCTTCTCTCATACTGCTACAGACATCTTTTATATGATTCATAGTAGCTTTTAAGTGGGATGCTTTAACCCTTCTCGGAACATAAAATCATCTCATTTTTTCCCCTTGTAAACACAGGGAATTTATCCCAGGGCCTTGATGTGTTAGGCAAGTGTTGAGCCAACTAGCTACATCTCCATCCAAAATGCAGTTCTTTTACTTTTTTTTTTTGTTTTGTTTTTCTGTTTTGTTTTGTTTTTGTTTTTGTTTTTTGAGACAGGGTTTCTCTGTGTAGCTTGGTGCCTGTCCTGGATCTCACTCTGTAGACCAGGCTAGCCTTGAACTCACAGAGATCTGCCTGGCCCTGCCTCCTGAGTGCTGGGCCCAAATGCAGTTCTTTATGCCTATTTTAAAAGCATGTTATCATTGGCTATGATTTTGAAGGTAACATTGTGAAGAGCTTTCTTTTGGAACTAGAAAGTAGATTTATAACTCTGGCTGATTTACCTTAGTGAAGTTATCAAATTATGCAATAACCACACAGTAGCCACTATGGTAGTGAGAGTTTAGAACCTTTCCTGGTCATTGCTCATCCTCTGGACAAAAAGGAAAATAAAAAGGGATGCAATTGGTATAAGAAATAATTTTGATTCAAAATATATATAATTCAGTCCCTCATTATCTTCAATTTCAGTTACCTGTGGCAATAGCAATCTAAAAATATTAAGTGTAAGATTCTAGAAATAATTACCTCTATGTAGCATGATAAAACAGAGATAAAACACCACACTGTCCTACCTGGTACATAAGTCACTCCTTTATCCAACGTATCCACACTGTATATGCTGACTTCCCATTAGTTACTTTGTAGCCATCCCATCAGGTTAACTGTCATGATATTGCAGTGTGTCCAAGTATAAGAATGACAATCAGGCATGCCAAAGAAAAGTTATAAAATGCTTCATTTAAGTAGAAAGGTTGGTCTGGGGAGATGGCTCAGTTGGTAAGGTGCCTGTCACATAAGCATGAGGACCTGAATTTTATCCCCAAATCCAAAGGAAGGCCCAGGCATGGAAGTAATTCAAAGTGTTAGGAAGGAGACAGGGGGTTCCCTGGAGCTTGTTGGCCAACCAGCCTGACCCAGTTGATGAGTTCCAAGCCAGTGAAAGATCCCGTCTCAAAAGGAGGACAGTATTTCTGAGGATGACAGCTGATGTTGTCCTCTGGCCTCCAGACATTCACAAGTGTAAAGGCAAAGGCACAATAAGATGCTGTGAGAGACCACCTTACATAACTGTTATTACAGTATTTTGTTATATTCTATTCTCTTATTAGTTTGTTAATCTCCCACTGTGTGCATTTGATAAAATTTATCCTGGGTCTATATGCATTAGGGAAAACATATGCATAGAGGTTAGTACTATCTATTCACTGAAATTCCTGAAAAAAAAAATCCCCTTTGGATAAAGGGAGACTGTCCTAAGATGTATAGATGCTGTCTATCTAATAAAACACTAGACATGAAAGGTATTCTTCAGAAATATTACAGGTTCAGGTCCCAACCACTGCAATAAAACATACACACAATATGGAGGGTTACACAGATTTTTGGTTTGCCAGTACATACAAAATTCACATTTACTATAGTCTTTTAGTTATGTAATAGCATTCTGTGCAGACAGTATAAACTGGGGCTGGAAAGATGACTTCATGGTTAAGAGCACTTGCTGCTTTTGTAGAGAGCCAAGGATCAGTTCCCAGCACCCATTAGAAACTCACAATTACCTGAACTCCACTTCCAGGGGATCTGACATCCTTTTCTGACCCCCCAGAGCACATGCAGACATGTGATACATATGGACAAGCAGGTACCCACACATACAAATAAGTCATTTTTAATTAACTTAAATTTTTTAATTTCAAAATTTTAACTTAATTTAAAAAACACTTTTTGCTAAAAATGGTAGCAATTATCTGAACTCTGGAATTAATGAAGCCAAAGACTAGATTAATACAAGGTTGTCTCAAACCTTCGATTTTTAAGATGTCCAATATTTTTAAGACTAGTAAAGTACAATAAGATGAGGTACAACTGCCTACCAGATTTTAAGTGTAAAACATCTATTTATTTACATGAGAAAATATACACCAAAATGTTTCTAAACAGAGATGAGTACTTATCTTAACACTATTTGAAATGTAACAGGAATGAAAACTCTAGGCAGGAAATATCATAGATGTAACCATTGCCCTAGGAAGAGAAAAAGCCAGTTTACGTGGAAATGTTACTTTTAATAAAGGTGAGCAACCTTCAGGAAATAGAGGGTGGAGAGAGGGCTCAGTGGTTAAGAGCACTGGCTATTCTTCCATAGGTTCCAGGTTCAATTCCCAGCACCCAAGTGGCAGTTCACAACTGTCCATAACTTCCAGAGGATGTCACCCTCTCTTCTGACCTCTGCAGGCACCAGGTATGCATATGGTACACAGACATACATGTAAGCAAAGCACTCAAACAAACAAATACGAGTTTTAAAAAAGAAACAACTTTGGAAAGGAAGTAAGGTCATATAAAGCAAAGAATAATAAACTTGGAAATAATAAAAGTATAAGAGCTTATATGTATACATGTATAAAAATAGGAAAAAGATAATTAAAAGGCAAAAAAGCAATTAGTAAAATATTTGTAGCATATGTGAAAGTTAAATATCCTGAAAGTAGAATTATTTCTATTCAATTTATTTTAAAAATAAAGAGAATAATTTTAATAATAAAAACCCTACTAACTAGGAAAAAGGAAATGTAGGCAAATCAACCAAATATTCACTTAGGACCAATAATAAAACCACCACTATATATAGGGTCCAAACAACCCTTTTCAAGCAGGAATCTTGAGTTTAAATAACCAGGTATCATCACCAAGCTTTCAGAT